CACCGATTACGAGTGTTGACTGTAGTCCCTTTGTTTTCTTATAGGCTTTCTTCTCACTCATGTCTGTGGCTTTGTTTCCATATCATATTCGGTGGGTGCTGGAGGACGGTCTTCCTTCCTCTCACTTTCTAGAGATCACATCTAATCACGTTGCTTTCAATATCCTTTGTACTTGGATGAATCTATTTTTCCAAGCCCTGACATCTTTCCTGAGCTGAGGACTATCTTCCTTTAACTATTTCCTGTCGATATTCTTCAGAGGACGTATCACTGTATGAAACCACCTTATTTTTCTCGCTTGTGAGCTGTTTCTTTTCCATAATGTAAATACCATGTGAATTAATGACTTGTATGCTTTCCGTTTTCCTTCCATTTGCTCTGTTTGAGATAATTCTTAAATGCTCCATCATTTAAATTATTAAAATGTAACTTTTCACCATAGTTATAATTTGTGACGTGTTCGGCATATTTTCCTTCATTGTTTTCTTCTCTCCTTTCTCCTAACAATGGCATCTTACTGGGTGACTCCTCCTGATAACCTATCATATAATCCCGTATTTTTTCTGGATATACACACACGTACCACATACGCACACTCAGAATAGATTGCCATTATGATTTTATGAATATAGTACCATGAGTACTATGACAGTTATCCTGTATCTTTCTTTATTCATCTAATATTGCCTTTATTTAGAATTTTCTTTATGTTAAAAGATGCAGATATAAAATTATATATATATTGGTAGCACTCTTTCTCCTCAATTATGACAAATAAAACCAACTTCAACTGTTGCAAATGCCCCCTGGGGGCCAAATTACCCTAAATTGAAAACAGGTGATGTCAGTAAGGAACAAGAAGCTGTGTAAGAAACCAGCATGGTAGAGATGGAAGAGACAGAATGGAGAAAAGTTTGGAAATAGAGGTTGGGCAGAAGCACAGTCCAGATGACTTTCTGCAATGATGGGAATGTTCTCTAATTACACTCTCTAATAGAATTGTCATTATCCTTACTGTGGCTACTAAGTACTTGAAATGAGGCTAGTGTAGATCAGAAAGTGTTTTTATTTAATTTTCACTAATGTTAATTCAAATTTAAATAGCTACATGTGATTAGTGCCCACCACATCAGATCAAGATCATTATTTTGTTTTGACTGTGTAGTGAAACTTGTTCCCTGTAGCCCTAGATGGAAGGTGTCTGAAGATTTCGAAACATTGTAGAAGAAATTCCTATTTCATGAGTTGGCTGAAACCCCAATTTAATATATTTAAAACCTCAACAATACACACTGATGAGTTGAAATGTTCTGTTTTTAATAGCAAGAGCTTAATTTATTATTTAAAGATATCGAAGAAAGGTATTGTGCTTTTTTTCCGAATCTTTCCCAGTCATCATGACAAGTAGATACGATTATGTCTGTATTGGGCTCCAGATGAAATAGGGAGGAAAAGAACGTCATTTCAGTGTTCATTTCACTATGGCTTTTGAGTGGAAACATAAAAGAGAGTAAGTTTAAAAAAAATAGAAATCTAGTTGTGAAGATTGTAGAAGTTTCACTTTTTTTTTCTGTCCTAATTTAGATGACACGCTGAGCTGGAAGCATGAATCTCCTACACTGAGAATTTATAAAAATAAATACGGATTCATGGGACCCAGCTCAGATGGGATGACTAAAACAATCCTGTGGGATACAAACCTGGTAGCTGATATTCCAGGATGGTACTATGAATCTATTCCTCACACTCTACTCTGCTGTGTCAGGACAGCCGCGCTGTAAGGGGACTAAGTCATGTGGCTGCAGTACACATTCAAATGTGTTTTGGCCGCCAGGACCTTCTGAGTTAGCTGCTGGGTGAAGATGAGCATGCCAGTTTAT